ATATATATATATATATATATATATTTATATATATATTTATATATATATATATTTTTTTTTTTTTTTTGGCTCAGATCTGGAGATCAGGATGGTGGCTCATGAATGATCTCTGCGAGGGAATTTTTTGCACATTTTGCACGGGTCATCTTTCTGCAGTCAGGTTTATGATGGAGGATAAATACATAAAGGCAAATAAAAAGCTGGAAATTTGCATCTTTATGTCCTCAGCCATAAACACAGATGCAGAAGTGATCAAAGAAATGAACAAAAAATATTTTCTAACTGGCAGATCAGAAAAGTACATGGGAATGTTTGTCAGAAGTTTGTAACATTGTGAATATTTTTGATCCATCCTGGCAGATTAACAATGCAGAGATTGATCTGTTTTATCTGATTAAATTGATTTAACTTAAACATTCATCAGTCTGTGATGTTATTTTATGAAGTCTAAACATATGGCCTATCTACTCAACTAATTTGTCATAAAATATGTTTTAAAAATAAACTAAGTGATGACTTCTTGTTTTCATTTACCCTCTTGAATTCTGTTTTTGCGTAACTTTGGCTGTTTAGGCAAATTGCATTAATTTGGCTCAGTTGAATTTTTCATTAGATTTTTTTTCCTCTAATAAGATCTTCATTTTTTTTTCTTTTATCCCTTTGCCATTTTTATTTGTGCAACTAGCTTCCAGTCAAAATGAAATTTTAAAACATCAATTTGATTTGATCTCCTTGGATTATTTTTTTTGTAGAAATTTCCTGAGATAGCTACAGATGCATTCACATGTGCTTTAATAACTTAACCAAACCTCAACAAATCCCAAAAAGCAAGAATGATATTTAACAATACAAATTCAATCTAGCGACTCATAAAAATTGATGCTTATTTATTATGGAAAAACAAAGCAGTAACCTTGGAAGAAAAAATTTAATAATATAATCATATGCATATATAATAACTATGGCAATTCTTCCCGCTTTGTGCCTAAGGAACAGAGGTTGAGCAATTTATTTACAGATTACACAAAAACTAACAGTTCATAAAAGCTAAAATGTATTTTCATGTATCAATTGTGAAAAATCCAAGTTTCGTATTTGCCATCTAAAGGGTTAAAATTCATTAAATACATGATCTGTTGTGTATAGTCTGAAGTTATTAATGTCATTCTTTAATAAAGCTAACCTCCTGAATCCTTTTTGCTGATTTTGTCCTGCTGCCCTACTTCCATAACTTAGCAGGTTTACATCACTGAAACAGATCAGAGGATCTGTTTCCTGCAGGTCTGCTCCTCTTCAATGGATGAGCAAAGTTGATGTTGATATTGGTAGGAACTGGATCAAGCTGTCGTATATGCCGACCCAGAGCATCCCAAACATGCTCAACAGTGACAAGTCCACTGAGTGGTGACCATGAGAGACGTGGGACGCCTTCAGCTTCCAGGAATGTGTTCAGATCCCTGCATCATGAGGCCGTGTGTTATCATGCTGCAACATGAGGAGATGAATGGGACAATGAGCCTCTGGTTCTCTGATTCAAAATGCCATTGCCAAACAAACCTGTGTTCAGAGTCCATAACATATGTAGGCCCATTCCATAAATCCCCACCGCCACCAAGGGCTACTCCATCCACAATGATGACATCAGTAACCATTCACCCACACAATGCCACACACGCTGTCTGTTTCAACAATGAACTGCAGTCAGGTTGAGATCCTGGCAGTTTGAGCAGAAATCGTTTGGTTGCCCAAAACGATTGTTCCAGCAGCTCTCTGGGTGGCTGGGCTCAGATGATCTTGGACGTCCTGGGTTGGTGTGGTTACATCTGCAGTTCTGAGTCCAGTTGATGTTCAGCCATGTTCTCTGAAATGCCTTCGAAGGCAGATTATGGTGAAGGAATGAACGTTCAGTTCACAGGCAACAGCTCTGCTGGACATCCCAGCTGTCGGCAAGCCAATTGCACGCTCCCTCAGAACTCACCACATCTGTGGCATTGTGCTGTGTGACAATGCAGCACATTTCAGAGCGGCCTTTTATTGTGACCAGCTTTAGGCACACCTGTGCAGTAATCATGCTGTCTAATCAGCATCTTGATAAGCCACACCTGTGAGGTGGAATGGATTGTCTATGCAAAGGAGAAGAGCTCACTATAACACATCTGTGAACAGTGCTTGAGAGAAATGGTTGTTTTGTGAACATAGAAAATGTTTCAGATCTTTTTTAGTTCAGCTCAGGAAAAATGGGAGCAAAGACAAAAGTGTTGCGTTTGTGTTTTTGTTCAATGATTCTTCACGTAGCTTTTCAGGAGGCAAGCTCTTTTAGTTTTATCTTTTTCACATATTTAAAAGATTGTTACACTGCTCATTGGTTTTCTCTTAGTTTTTGTTATTGTTGGTATCTTTATTTGAGTCTCCTATTTCCCTGACACGTAAATAAAGGATATTTCTATTCTGTTCTATTCTCGGCGGTGAAGTCGTGATCAGACATCATCTTAGAGCAAACGGCGTGTTTGTGTTTAAACATGGAGAGGGTATCAGAATTACCTAGTCATCAAGGAATAAAATTTGGCAGCAGTACACACACTGAGCATGGATGAGACTAATTTACTAAACATACCCTCCAGTCTCGTAATTACATGTAATTTTACCGGCATAATTAACTAATTTAATTACTACTCCTCAAGAGCATCAATTATTGATATTACAGAGCATTCAGATGGCAGGCAGAGCTCTTGATGTGGCACGCATTCAGAGGGTGGTAAACACATGCTGGCTCTCCAAGAGTCTTGGCCGGCTTCCTGGTAGCACTCAGTGACAGGGTGGGAGAGAGAGAGAGAAAGAGAGAGAGAGAGAGAGAGAGAGAGAGCATGCAGCGGGGCATGGCCGGCGTGCCATCACTGACGTGCCGAGTTCTTTCACAGAGTCAATTACAGCTCAATGTCGGCCTCATGAGGAATGCCAGAAGTGGACAAATGAAGCTTTTTGCACTCAGCCAGGTAGACGCCACGTCCAACATGCTACCATTCAGGCTGCTGAGAAAGGCAACGCTAAGAATCAAATCTCCAAATTGCCCCGAGGTGTGAGTGTGTGTATGCATGGTTGTTTGTCCTCTGTGTTGCCCTGCGACAGAGTGGCGACCTGTCCAGGATGTACCCCGCCTCTCGCCCGGAACGTTAGCTGGAGATAGGCACCAGCAACCCTCCCGACCCCACTAAGGGACAAGGGTGTAAAGAAAATGGATGGATGGATGGATGGAACTCTTGTCTTCAAGAGTCACATAATTAGTAACTAGAGTCCACCTGTGTGTCTTCATCTTGGTACAAATCAGCTGTTTCCTGTGAACACAGGGCACATGCAGGGTGCTGCGTTCATGAAACGTCCGTCTTCATAAGATAGGGCACATTATGGACAACCGTGAGCATCCTCTTCATGATGCGACCACGGAGGGTTTTCAGTAGTTGTGGTTCTGTTAATGTTAGCAAATCTTTATATTTTGCTAATGTTAAAAAAATGCATTTTTTCCTGGTGACAGCTGTACATTGTCCAAAATACCCAAAACAAACCATCATCCTTCTACCATTTCCTGTCGTCTTCTTCATTGGTTTCTTCAGTAGCAACGTCCAGCTGTTGATCATGTGACTTGTGTGACAAGTCACATGATACATGAAAGTAAAAAAAGTTTTTACTTTGCAGTTTTCCAAATTAAATGAATCTTAATCTTGCTGAAAAGTCACCTAAACCTAGAGCAAAACCTATATATCCAAAAACATTTGTTTTATTTTAAATGGGAGTGTTTTCATTAAGCAAATTTATTTTCATAATTTCAATTTGTGCAATTCTACCGTTACAGGAAACACAGCTAGTGAGTTGCTTCTTCCAAATCGCTGTAACACAGACTGCTACAGGAGGTCTCTCCTGCCCACATCCATCAGCATCTACAATCACTCTTTGAAGAATCATGTTACATGTAGTTTGATTTAAAATAACACACGGTTTACCCTTAGCATTAACAAAACATTTCTGAATTGAATTTAGTTTTTTTTACATTTATTCATATCCTATTTTTCAAAAGGACAAAAATAAGCTTAAAATCCACATGTGGAAAGACGACAACGAGGAAGAAATGACTGCAGTTCAAATTAAAACTTGCACGCAATAAATGTGAGGAAATGGAATTCTATTAGTAAGTCATTGCAATTAGATTTCAGTGGCCACAGCTTTGTTCTTATGCTACAGTGGAACTATTGGGCAAAGTGAACCACCCTTATTGCTTCATGCTGCTGCTGTAGAAATATTCCAACACGTCAAGCCACAGAATCAGAACCAGAACCAGAACCAGAGCTCTGCATCATCCCGAGTGAGCAGGCCAGCCTCCACATGCAGAGATGAAGCAAGGCACACCGAGGTGAAAATTAAGTGTCTGACATCGCCAGAGGTTTGTGTGCGTGTGTGTGTGTGTGTGTGTGTGTGTGTGTGTGTGTGTGTGCGTGTGTGTGTGTGTGTGTGTGTGTGTGTGTGTGTGTGTGCGCGTGCGTGTGAGTGTGTGTGCGTGTGTGTGTGTGTGT